ATGGTCAAAGCAGTCTTCGCAGACTGACTTGCCGCAGCTTCGGCATGGATAGCGAGGTTCCCGATGCTGTGGATGCCCGGGCTCCTCATGAGCACACCTGGCCCGGTTATCAGGGGCAGCGCCGGCAGCCCGAGCAATGGCCCTCGTTCTAGAGGGATCCCTGCCGAAGATGGGGGCTGATGGTGACGGTGGGGGTGGCCCTGAAGGAGGTGGAGGTGGAGGAGGCCTAGCCGAGCTGACGGTGCGAGCATCACGAGAAGGAGAACCTCTAGGAGCCCTTCCCTGGGTTAAGGGATCAGTGTCTCCAGATTTCTCCCGGCAGCAAGAGGTTGCTCCCTCAACTCAGCGATCTGCATGTTGATCTCATTGACCCTCAGCACAAGCTTCATAAACTGCTCTTGCATGTCCCTCGGATTGGGGCCTAAGCTTTTGTCATGAAGGTCCTTGACGCACCTAGCAATACGGGACAATTGAAGCTTGAACTCTTCCTGTTTCTGTGAGTTCTCATTGAGAGCTCCGGACATCCTATCACTGAACTGCTTCAGGTCGGTCGCAGGAACGAGCTGCTGGATATACGTCTCGACGTTCCCACGGATGGTTCTTTCCCTTGAGATGGTTCCCTCAATGTCGATGACACTGCGAGAGTTCGCCTCAACTTCGTCCTTGATTTTCCGAACCTCAGCCTCAAGGGCCCCGATCTCAGAGAACCTAAGGAGCTGGACCTTGACGTTCTCAAGTGATTCGGCCTGCTCGCGAAGTTCAGCAGCGGATATGACGATCGAGTCAGACCTCTCATCATACATCTTGAAACGCTCATTCATCTCCTTCTCGCTTCGGGCGACCCACTCGTGGAAATCACGGAACTTGGCCTCGTGTTTTGAGAGAGTTCCGGCAACGGCAGAGAAAGATGATTCAACCTTCTTCTCGAAGGCGTCAACACGGTTATTGATCTTCTTGATCTCACCGACGCAAGCGTTGATATCATCCCTACATGAACGAATCTCAGTTCTGCATCCCTGGATTTCGGCCTTGCACCCCTTGACCTCGTTGTGGATCGCGAGAAGCAGTCGTTGAAGCTCAGATGCAACAGGATGGCCGCCACTTGTGGAAGCAGACGGAGCAGGACGACTATCAGCGTCATGATCTCCGCGCCTATTTTCTTCCCTGTCGGGAGTGCAGCCCGGAGTTCCAATTTGAAAGAATGCGGGGACGAGGGAGTTGTTGACCGGTTGATTTGAAGGAAGCCCTCCATGTCCAGGAGCAACAGTGCTAAGTCCAGGTCTCCGATTCCTGGGCGTAGAGTTAATCCCGTCATCAGTCTCCTTCTCAGACATCGGGGCATTGGAGCTGAGCCCAGACCCCGCAGAGTGGATAGGAACGTCAATAGGATCGTGATGAGCTGGGGGATTAGATCGCAATCGCAGAGCAGCTTCACGTCTCTCGGGTGACTCAGAGCTCCTCTTTGTGGCTCGTGAGTCAGTGCCGGTTTGTCCCGACATGTTATCAAAAGATGACGACCCGCGAAGTTGAGCTTGATCTGGATCAGGTTGAGTGAGATCAAGCCGTTGAGCAACGTCACCAATGAGTGGCTTAGGGGAAAGTACTTTGGCAACGCGGCTCGGCGGGAGCGATGTCGTTCGTCTCTCTGGTGTGACCTCGGCCTCATCGATTACATCAAGGATCCCAGGGATGGTTTCATCATCTTCATTTCCTCTCCTGGGTGGCTGATGGAAGGGGATGTCGAGGAGGTCGAAGGGAGTAGAGCCAATACCAGGTGTATCCTGCTCGGATCCATCACTGGTACGGTGGCTGGACTGCTCTCGAGGTCGATGACGTCGGGGGCGGACTCTTTTCGAGTCTGACGCCGATTGAACGCCGCGAATAGACCGGCATGGCTTCTTGATGAAGTGGAGGAAGGATTTGGGCCTGCTGTTTCGCGGCCCGCGTCCGATCGATTAGTACCTGATGCCCGATTTGGCGGATTTGAGCCCGCGTTGTAGCGGTTCGCATCCCGACCTCGGGTACCTGAGGAAAGCGGTGGATTCGGACCAGCGTTGTAGCGGTCCGCATTCCGGTCGCGGGTACCTGACAGGTGAGATGATACTGCGTCAGGGATGAAGTCCATATCCGCCGGACTGGGGTGATCGTGAATGATGTCAATGTTGGATGAACCTGAGACGGGAGGAAGGCCAGCTATTTGCGGCCAATCCTCAATCGCCCGTTTGCCCACCTCGGGTTGGGCCGAACCTGCAACATGAGAAGGGGAGAAATCTTCAATGGGGTCATTTTCTCCATCATGAGGAAAACCCTGAGTAGGCTCATGTGTAGGCAGGGCATCAAAAGATCTGTCAATTCGGGAAGGTTGCGACCTCCAATCAGCATCAAAAAGGGATTGACAATCCAGATTCCCAACCGATATGGGGGCACCCGAGTTGAAGTCGAGCCGACCGAAATCAGGCGGTGTAGCCTGCGATCCACTGCCGAGGAGCTGGTCAAACTGATCCCATGTAAGGGACCATGATTGAGCCGGCTCCGGATGAGCAGCATGATGGACAGCCCGGTCCTCGATCTGGAGCGCCACGAACGGAACAGTAGGCGAAATCGATGAGGGCACCTGATTTGGAGGAACCTCAGCCTCTTCTAGAGGGGGTCCGTCCTCGATCTGGAGCACTGCCGCCGGGATAGGGGCCTCCGCATCCTCATCAAACACGACCTGAGAAAGGATCCAATCGTCCGTGATCACCCCGGGATTGGGCTCTGCGCCCACCATCGGGGGAATGGGCCACAGCCGGCTGTCTAAGCCGGGGCAGCAGGCGCGGCGTTGCCGCGAAGGGCGTTGGCCTCGTCGTCCACGAAGCCCGGCCCACGATGTGAAGCTCCGGGGGACGCCATTGCTCGTACAAGTAGGCGATGGGAGCAGGTAGCGGGTCACGTCCCGCAACCGGATCACCAGCCCCAGCTTCTAGCTGGTACGGCTGATAACCTGCGGTTTTGGGCGAACACGAAGTAGCCCAGGGAAGCAAATGAGTACAAAGAAGATCACAATGTACCCAAAGCACCCGGAATCACAACTCGGGTGAAGCTGTGGATGATGACCGGGTTGAGGAAGTGACGGTTGGTAAAGAGAAGTTTGGGGAAGTTGGAATTCAAGTTGAAGAAGTATAAGTACTCAACCAAGCCCAGCAAACCCTGTCGCACCACCGGATACCTCCCACAACCAGCTGCCCCCAGCACCGAGACCTTTTCCCGGTGATGTGGGCGGCTGCCGTTGTATGGCGTCCGCACGTGGTGCCAGAGCTAAACTGACGGGGGGTTGAAAACTTGAGCCAAACGGCCATTCGGCCGTTTTGCCATATGAAGAAACAACACGTGAACAAAACACATTATTAAACCGCGTGGTAGAACCACCAACTAAACAACTTGCTGGTGCCCAGCAGGGAAAAAAGGAGCGACCCCCATATTTTTGTGTGGTGGTTTCCTTCAAGGGAATCCCCAGCTTCATTCCCTCACTCCCTACTGAGAACCAACTCAAAAAGGTCAGGGCTGGTGCTCAGCAAGCAGGGAACGAGGGAATGACCCCCCATAAACCATCCCTTCTGGTTTCTTTCAAGGGGATCCCCGGCTTCATTCCCCCGTCCCCTACTGAGCACCAGCTGGCTGTGGGTCAAAAATAGGTACCCAAAATGGAACCCTAAGAGGAAACATGGACAAAATGAGCGGTTTTTGGTGGCTTCATTTTGACCCACACCCAAAACAAATGCTGGTGGTTAATTTTTTTTGACCCACACCCAACTCAAAAAGGTCAGGGCCCTGGCCAACGCGCGGTATCACGGTCGTCCGAGTCGCTGGGCTCCCGCCATGGGCCGCCGCCCAAATCGGCACCAGCGTGGCGGCGCCCTCGAGGGCATAGGCCGCCGTGACAGGCACCACGAAGCGCAGGATCTGCCTGGCGCCCGCTGGGCTCCTCTGTTGGTTGCGCTAAGGTTTATTAGGTTAGATATTAATTAATAAATATATCTATATAATATATTATATATATGTATAGAGAGGATTAACCATACAGCAAAATGGTCTATAAAATCCAGGCTTATATGGACTTTACAACTCGAATTAAACCAGGAAGTAGCAAGCACCGCCCAGGTGACGCTGCTGAGTTGCGGGCCTCTTTGAATTCTTTGAGCACCCGGGATGTTGCAAGGCACGTCCAACCGTCCAACCGCAAATTCCTGATGAAGCGCGACCAGCTCAGGGTTGCTTTTGCTCCCTACATGCAACATTTAGGGCATCCACCGCCAGGTTCCGGATTTGGGAACACAGTGCTTGCTAGCATGCCCATCCTATATCCAAACACCCTCCATTGATTTGCGGCTGTCCCTACCGATGCAAATCGGGCGAGGTAACAAACTTGAGGACAGGTTCGCCCCGTCTCATGAAAACTGTGAACGTGGATGGCGGGCGGGAACAACTGTTATTTAATTATTTGCATACAGTGTCCCTGCAACATGTGGATAAGCCTTTGTCCCTTGCCAACTGACAGCCGCGCCTCAAAACCGGGAGCTCCTCCGTCGCCATCTTTCCATAGCGTTCAAGTCATGAAACAGCTATGCAGGAAACCAACGCAACACGAGCATTTCGGTCTCGCTCTTAGTTGTGTCAGTCTGCAATTTAGCAGCGCTCCGTGCTCCGAGCATGGCCAATCCAAATCATCATGTCAAATATGATGGCCTCTTGGCATGGGGCACGGGATTTCTCTCGCTACCAGGCAACTTGCGCGCAACAAAGACGCTTGGTTGCATGCCCATTGCATGTGTTCCGTTGTGTGCCCCTTGAACCTTTCCAGCTCCACAAACCAACTGCTTTTTGCGTGAAGCTGCGCTGTTCTCCGGCTTCAAGAAGCAAACCAACCAGCTCTAAACCACGAATTCAGATAGCTTCAACAAGCGAAACAACCAGCTCTAAACCACGAAATCAGACATATTCAAATTCTGAGCAGCGCCAGCCTTGGCGGAGGGCCAGCTCTTCAGTTCTGAATCTGGCCACACCTGGCATGTCCCCAAGTCCCAAAGCAGACTGGCGACCTTCACCCAGCTGTCCGACTTTCCGACATTTCAGGCCAGCAAAAACTATGCGTGTTCGTGCGCTTCGGGCAAGGGTCCAAGAGGCAACCTCAGCCTCCACCAATTGTACTTACCCTCGATGACAGCATCGAATTTCATTTGAACTCCTGCACTTGCCGTCAAGTCTGGCGCGAGACCTTCCATCGTTCAACGCCTTGCGTGCTTGCATCCATTCAGGTTCTACCCTCCAAGAAGGAACGGCTTGGTCTGTAGTCCTCTGGGAGCGGCTGGCAAGCACTAACTACTCGCTGTTTCATTCTTAGGCCCTTTACAATTCGAATCATCCATCTTGGTGGACTGCTAGGTTTTCATCTGAGGCAGGAGCGGCCTTGCAAACAGCGCATCACGTCAGAATTCGCCTGCCGAGAAGATTCTGATGCGTTTCGTTCCAGAAATTGCAAGCCACAAACTAACATCTGTATGCAAAATGCGCGTGGCATCGCCTTCTCCAAGCTGGCACCATATGCGTCTTCCTGGGCAACTGAGCCGATGAGACACACGTTCCTGAGAATTTACAGCCTGGATCACTGCGATCATCATACCGCAAAAGAAATGCAAAAGATATCAAAAGATGCATTCATGTTCGCATCCAGGCAGAGGAAAGGCAAAACTATCCGAAATGCATCTGGCACCTCACCAAAGATAAACTTCATGACTGCACCTGTTCAAGCTGTTCAAAACCAAAAAAAAACAGGTGTCTGTTGAACCTCTCAAATTACAGCGGGTTTGGCGGCAAAAACAAGGGGACACATAATGCCAGGGCAGCACCCGAGAGAAACCGCGGGTCGGTGCTGAGCACCGCTCCAAAATAGGCATCCAAGGTGGCAAATACCCGCAGTCACGACCAGTGTCGACCTCGGGACAGCAATCGGCCAACATTGGAGGCATCCCGGAACCCCGCTCCCACGTGCCAATTGATTGCGCAATGAAAAACATCCAAACGCAAAGTCACTCCCGCGTGCGAGAGTGCTAAGCGGCATGTTTGGCGGAAACCCCTTTGCGCGCTAGAAACTTGAGAAACGCATGCAAGACCTAAGCCGTATGCAGGCTTATCGTTGTCGCCGTTGCCCATGCACTTAGCATCGAAGCCCATCATCCGCTTCGTCCCGCAGCTTTGGCTCAAAGGGCACCACCTCAGTGACATGCGAAACACATGGGCTCAAGGTTCCATTGATTGAAGCGATTCCCTAAACATTCCCAATGGATTCCTAAAGATTCCATGGGCTCAACTGGGAAGGATTCCCAAGGCGTTTGCTCTGGTTGCTTCCTCGCAACTTTTTGGAAACTCCTGTAGTGGGGCTTGAAGTAAAAAAGTGCGGTCAGATTCTTGTAGCGGTAGCGGCTCCAAGAGCAATGCCGAAAAAACAACGGCTGACGCAGGTCAGACTCAACAGGGATCCTTACAATATACACCTGAACATTGCCTTGTAAATGGTGGTTTCCCTTTAGTCCCCACCCGACAAGAAGGGGTTGTTAGATTTTATGTTGGAATCCGCGTTTGCGATGCTTCTACACCACGCCCCCACCCAGCATCCCGCCAGAGCAGCTCGCCAGTGGATCCCGCCGAGTATTCCGCCAGAGCTGCTCGCCAGTGGCAGTATCCCGCCAGAGCTGCTCGCCAGTGGATCCCGCCGAGTATCCCGTCAGAGCGGCTCGCCAGTGGATCCCGCCGGGTATCTCGCCAAAGCGGCTCGCCAGTGGATCCTGCCGAGTATCCCGCCAGAGCGGCTCGCCAGTGGTTCCCGCCGAGTATCCCGCCGGGGATTGCTCGAAGCGAAGTAATTTTGGTGGAAAAACAACATGTTTCAAATGGTTGCACAATCTATCTTTTAAGGAGCCCTGCTCAAATATAGATGTTTGGGCAACGAAAGTTCAACACATCCAGGCTGGCGGGCGCAACCAACGCCCTTGATACACAGCAAATTCGAGGCAGTCCGAGCACAGGGCTGGCAATTGCTGGAGGTCACGCACTGCTTGCAGACATCTGCGCTGTGCCTGACTCATGGGAATTTCGGAATTTCACATGTGGCAGGGGTTCGGCCTTGCTGGACTCCGTTTGCATGAAAGCACTCAAGAGAAACATAGACAAAACGATATCCATGAAGCACCCACAAAAGTCTGAGGGGATTCTTCTAGCACCTAGCAAAACAGGAGGATGCCGCATACCACATGCCCAAGAGTCCTTCTGGGCACCCGACTTCTGATCGAAAGGTGGGGATACGCTGGGAGGGCCATGGCCACACCTGCATAATTCAAACCAGGTGTCAAGGACCACTCCGAAATATGCACATTGACATCCGGAAAACCCGAGCTCCCGTATGCAAGAAATCTCAGCCATCTGTGCATCGGGCGCGTCACTGCCAGCCACGACAGGTACCAGAACCTCAAAAATAGCTGCTCCCTATCTCTCCGCTGCTCGTCTCACATCTGGAAATGCGTCTAGGATTCAACTTTGCGAGATCCTTCCACCATTTCTTCCCCCAGTGTGCTCATGGGGAGCCATCGAAAAGTGGATGATATTGGATAACTTGAGTTGATGCCGAGGGCCCCTTCGAACCCCTGGTCGCTTTGCATTCTTTTCGTCGCACGGCTTCTGAGGGCCCGGGCCAGCCACACCCTCTGCCTGCAGTCGGCGAACTTTAGGGCAATCAAAGGTGAGATCCAACATGATCCAAACACCCAATGGTGCGACTTTCCATCTCAAATGCATGAGTGCTACTTGAGACTTCTGACTCCAGCGAGACCTAGAACTCAAGTCCTAAGGAGCCTCACAATTGTCAAAGCCGAGCTCCGGGCATCGGCATCATTTGCATTCCATACCTTGACCGGCCCATCCAACATCCCAGCAAAGTATTTGACCAGCATGCGACAAACACAGTTTGCTATACCTTATGCCTGCCACCAAGCGCCAAACGCATTTCACCTTTGTCGTATTCTCCCTCTTGAATTGTGTTGCTTCCCCCCCCCCGCGTTGAACACCCTCAACCAATCAATCGTGCGGCAGGCCTCATGGTTGGAGTCTTGCCATGGCTATGGCACCCACTTGCTGCTTGCAGCTACCAGCCCCCAAACATGGGCATTCGAATCAACAATTCTGTTTCTGCACATGTTCAGGGAAAAGTGAAAAGCTTGCTAGCAGCATGCAGTGTCTTGTCCTGTTTGCATGTTCTCGACGGTGGTGGGTGGCATGTGTTTCTTCGACCCGTGGCAATGCCTGAGCTCTGTGCCCAAGGACGACAGCAAGCAGCTGCTCCAACGCAGATCTCCCCGCTTATCATGCAACAGGCAAGTCACATCCCAAGGCTTCATTGCAGCATGAACTGCCACTTGGACAACTTGTCTAAACAAACGCCAATGGGACCCATGTCCATGGCTAGGCGCAACTTCCTGCCAATATCAAATGTTGGATCATCCTAAAAAGATATTTGATAATCTTTGATCTTTGCCCCCGGAGTAGCCTTGGGAGACCTATACAGTAGTCCAAGACTCCAAGACTTGGAGCGCTCTCCAACAGCTCGAACGGTGCCACGATCTGAGTCCTGAAGCGTCAACGACAGCGCGAAGAGGTCGTAGTACTCCCGGAACTGTGGGGCCACCCCAAGGGGCTCCAAGAGCTCTTGGAAGTCCTGCAGAGCTTCCCAAGCCTTCGTTTGGTAGGCATTTTTCAACCGAAGATACACGGGACTAAAGCAAGTACAAAAGATTACCAGGGGTCGCCCCTTCCAGTGCTTTTGACTGACCCAACATTGTACTTGCCTTGCTTCGCTTGCCTAATGTATGGAAAGGCCCCCCCCCCACCATGCCCCCGAAACAGTCAAACCAGTCGAGGACGACTGTCTCTACAAGGGACCCCCCGTGCCAGTAGTCTTCGGAAGTGGTTTAGTATGTGGTGATGTATCGGTATCATATTGGCCTGGCTAGTCCTGGTTCAGATTTGGTTTATTCTGGGGGACCTCAGTCCTGGCACCCCCTAGAGAAAAGGCCTAGACCTTTCCAGGAATTCTTGATACTACAGATTGTGCCCAAACAGCGCGCAGCAAAGATGGTCAAGGGCCTTCATTGGGGAACATGCACCTTTTAGATGACTGCTTGCCATTATTCTTGATGCAAGGAAATCTTATGGTTGGGGGCCAGGGAAGCCAGATGTAAGCCTGGCAGGTTTGGAAACCGGCAACAGAGAAGCCTGGAGAGAAACGAAAGCCTTGTTCCTTCATGTCCTTCGTGCATTTTGGGTTTTCCGTGTTTTGTTGACATGAAAATAGTGCCCAAAACGTCGGATGCCGTCTTTGAGGATAAAGAGTGTGAGATTAAACATGATGTCCGTATTCAACCAGGTGCCGCATTATATTGCACTTGTTGATTGCTGGCTTCAGGCAGCCAACCTGCATTGCAAGTCCCAAGCACACTTGTGGCCGTTTTCACGGTCCCGCTACAACTTGGACAAACTTGGCAAACTAAGTTCCGCGCATGCTCGATGCAGCTGGACGTGACAGCAATCTGCCAAGCAAGCATCGTTGCGTTGAGTACGACTCACGCTGCTTGATATCTACTTCCTTCAGTGCGCCCTTTTTAGCAAGACATGAAACCAATTCTACATGGATCTGACCAGAAAGTGGCGCTGACGCAAACGCAGCACCCAACTCGGGACCGGACATAATTACTTTGTGTCACGGTGCGTTCAAAGCGAAAGGGCGCTAAGTTCCAGACCTTCACACACCATTCGGACGCAAGGTCGAAATCAATCCTGGGTTCCAAACGCATGGCTCAGGCGTCAACGTACTGCTTTGTTGAAGGGCTTTTTGCTTGAAGACATGAACTGCTGCGGAGCCTGACGCCGACTCGCCTTGCCTGCCTTGACGACGCAGCATGATGTTTCACACAACGGCGCAAGCGACGCTGGAAGATTTGTGCTTTCAGCAGCCGCGCTTTGAGCTCGTGGCATGACGGGCCGCTGCCGTCGTCGTCTGAGGATATTCGGCATCTGGCTTCAGCACAAAAGCTTCAAGGCTGAGGCTTTTTTTGTTTTTTTGCATAGCCCTAGCATGAGCCTAACCCTGGCACAGCCTGGCGTGCACAAAACGAAACACTAACGGACAAAGGGTGGTTTAAGGTAGGTGCCGCCTACCTTAAACCACCCAAGTGGACTTAAACACAACCATGACCGAAGCCAATTTCAAACCCACCCCAAACCAGCCCTAAACCCACCCGAGACCAACCACAAGAAGCCCCAGCATAAACCAGCACCAAACCATGTACCTCAAGCACAGCCACCCCCAAATTTGCTCTCAATAGGCCTGAGACCCACCCAGAGCCAACCCTGAGCCAAGCTGGAACCCAGCCTAAACCAAAGCCTAGTGTATACCAAGCCTATTTATAGCTTCCATTCTCATCAACACGCAGCAGAACAATGCTTCGCTTGCAACTACATTCAACAAGGAGATGCCGGTCCTTCAAGTCATTGTGAAAGGTGTGCTCTGCCATTACCCGTACGTCCTGGCGGCTTCAGAAATAAGCTCTGACCTCAATTGTCGAAAACTGAGTGCGCCAAACCGGAGCAAATTTGCCACACCTGTGGTCCCTAAGGCTTCCAAGGGCAAAAGACACGGAAGGCACTCGTCTTGGCTGCCTGGAGGAGAACCTGCGTGTCCATCTCACTCCAGTCCTGCCCAATGCGCCATGCAACCCCATTCACCGCACGCACCGCTACTCATTATGCCTCCAAGGCGGATAGAACTTGGCCTGCGCCAGGGAAGTATGACAAATGAACTGTTGCTCACAAGCCTCCTCCACGCAGCTCAGCCGCTCCATGAAGATCACAGTGCCTGCCAAGGGTCTGCCAAAGTGCAAACCTCCTGTCTGCAGATGGATGTGAAGCTGAACCAAGGAACAACCCGTTGTGCTTGGAGGTTCTTGAGCGAAAGGCATCCAAAGGAGAAGCTATAGGCAGTAGCCATTGCCCTCCCTCCCACTAACATAGCACTTGTGGGAGGGCACCTGGAAGATCAATTTCCTTGTGAAGGCTTGAAGGGACCCTCTGTGAGGTGCCACTAACAAAGGCCGAGCGGGCAGATGCCGAAGCTGTGCCTCGAAAGTGGCCACCCATGGTCTGCTGGACGCGGCCATGGCCGAACATCACTGGACCTCGGCAAGGGAGTTGGAAGCACCCAATATCACAGGACCCTGACTGAATTGCTGAGACATCATGTCGAAAACCTACTTCGGCCAAAACCTGATATTTAGAGAACCAGGATGAAGTGCAAACCTAATGTTACAGGTCGGCAAACGACACCTTTGCACGATGCACTTGCAAAATCGGCGCAGCCTGGCAATCGTAACTCGAGAACGGAACACGGAATTCGCGCTTCAGGCACAAGGCCGTTGAAAATTGCGGATTCATGCGGATTCGCATTGCTTGGTCGGTTGGCCAACCTCACCCGGAAAGCCGCATGGCCATTCTCTTTTGGACGGCACCCGTATTTGGATCATTAAGCCAAATTTAGCCCGTACGGTCATGTTTTCTGGCCGGTGGCAGTATTCGGTCGTATACAGCCCGTATTTGTTCAACCAACAAGCCGTAAATTACCGTATTGTGGCCCAAGCCGCATGGACAAACAAAAATGCACATCTAGGTTTTCAGGGAACGCCAAGCAATGTTCGCAGCGTTTACTTGGAGGAGCAGCGTAATCTCAACTAACTCTATCCAACATCATATCGCCGAAAAGTGTCGGGGGTGCAACCAAAAGAAGATTCTATCACAAGGGAACACCTCCCTGTTCAACAACAATTCAACAAAGAACTCGCTGGGCAATGCGTTTCCGGCCCCGCTGGGCATCCGAGGGCCTGGCCAAACCCACATCGATCTGCCTTTAGACCATTCTGCACCGAGGCCCTGCGACATGTGGCATTTAGGGATGGATCAATATGGATCATTTGTGCCAGGCACGCTGGGCTGGAAAGATTGCGCGCCCTCTCTCACAAAGGCACACACCATCCCCTCGCGCCTGTGCACCCAAACCCTTTCCGTGTCGCTGATAATCTTTGCAGCGACAGGCCCGCACCTTAGACGAGGCTCAAAGTTGAGGTTCCCCTGCCGGCTGTCAGGGCCGACGAGAAAGGCTATGGATAATGCCATCTGGAGCGAGTCAAGGAACACAACGGGCAGTGGGGGGACAAATCGCCTCGCCTCGGGCCAGAGACCTGCATCATCGCTGATCGAGAGACACTGACGGACCCCGTATGCATCCGTATGCTCTACATATGCCAAATGCAATTGGATCATGCAGTCTTATGAACCTCTTCGCATGACCATAAGGGCTTCTCCAATACTTTTGCCTACGTAGGCCTGTCACAGAGTACTCACTCACTTCCTCGACTTCGCAGTTAGGCCCTAAGGCAATGAGGCGACTATGAGGCGTCCATAGCTCCGGGATCTTGGCCCATAAACTCGGGCAAAGCTGCCCTCGCCCAACAACTCCACCTCCTGCCAAAGCCGGTGCGCGAGTAGTGCTGCCAGACCACAAACTTTCATCCAGCAAACTCCAAAGTATCAGCTCACACGAAGCCAAGCAGCTTCCCGTCAGTGCACTCCTCCAGAACCTCGCCCTCTCGGGTTGCATATTTCTCGATGTCCAAAGCCGCAATGAGAATGTGCCCTTGGCTGCCACATCGTGCAACATCTTGACCCTCGAACCCTTCAATGCTTGGCGTGTGCGGAAACGCGCTGCGCCATCAACACAGTCCAAACTGTTTTTGCCAAGTTTCGAATTGTTGTGACCATGTCAGGCACCCCTGGGAAGGGTCTGAAGAATGCCTGGACCAAGCGAGCTTTTTGAAGCACTCTGCAACCTCAGACTGTCATCTTTGTGAGTTCTACGACAGGTGGCCTGTTTGGCAACGCTGGCATCGCTCGGGCACCGGATTGGATGGGAAACAAGGGAAAAGTAGCGCCGATGCTGTCCCAACTGCCTGCCCAGAAATTTGGCGTATTTCCAGCGTCCAGTTCGCCCCTAATGGCGCTCTCCGTCCCAAACTCTCAAGCCCCCGCCTCGGCTTGAAACTTGCCCCAGCAGCCCCGCAGAAACCTGAGCACGTGCTTGGATGAAATGAATGCTTCGCTTCCGGGGTGCAGCTGTGGCGCGGCAGCAAAGCACGGCAGCAAAAACAGTATCACATGCGACGATTCCGACCTTGAGAGACGGACTGTGCAAAGTGCAGTGCAAAGGTCCCAGGACTTCCGGAATGCCAAGGGCTGTGATCTCAAGGACCTGTTAACCAAATAGAATTTCTCTTTTTTCATTCCAAGTCTTTCACACGAAGGAAAGCCTGTCTCCGCCCATGGCGCCATGGGGCTGCGGCCCTTTGGTTGTGCTCAGAACCTCGAAAACGTAAGCTCAACATGCCCTGTCCAAAAAGGACAGCTGACATAGCACTTGATTGCTATGTTTGCGATGCCGTGGCAATGGTGACACCTGGTGATTGCCCTGCAACAAACACAGACTTGTCCAAAAAGGGCATGCCTGCCCTCGATTTGGTCAGATCTGAATGCGTGGTCCATTTTACGGGCTTTTCGGGGCAGCCCAAACGATCGAGCCGCCGCTACAAGCAACGCCCTTCAAACAGCAGACTTGCTTAGCAAGCTGCAGTCCAAAGCTGGGCAAACTGTTCGCAGTCTGTTGGATGCGGGCCGACTTGCATATTGCTTACTGAACTTTCGCCCCTGCGCATCATCCCTGTGCCTGTACAAGCGGACGGACCTCTAAGCCTGCTCCAAGGTTCATCGCGCAGAGTTAATGCTCTTTCTGCTTCGCTGAAGTGAAACCCACAGTCTGAAATACACGAGAACCAAACAACATCTGCAAATGCATCATAGCCCGTGTGAAACAAATAATCATACATACCACAAACTACAATCAACCAGCAGCTTAGCTGGGGGGGAACTTGTTCGTAACATAAACATTGCTTAAGCATCCAAACACCTCTGGGACGCAAAAAACACAAACAAAGTACTCCCGGGCTGCACTGCTGCACCCCTGCTCGCCTCAATTGAACAAAGAGCGCAGCAAATCCCTGCCAGCTGACGCCATAGAATTTGCATCAACCGCTGCAATGGTCTTCCGGTGGAGGATGCACTCCTGCAAAATCAATACAGGTGTGGGCAACGGCCTTTGCAACAGTCGGAGGGAGGGGAATGATGGGGAATGCGTCCATGCTTCGGCAACGAAAGCGGCTAGATGTGATGCACCTCCGTCAACAGCCAAAGAAATATAGGAGTCTTGAGACATGTGAAGAATTTCATACATCCAATAATTGACAAACACCTTCTTTTTTTGTCACGCGAGGCACGTTTCACACTGGGAACGTGACCTTCTTGGCAAGGAAACATGCAATGCGTAAGGCAAAGTCCCAGACCAGTGACTCAGTGGCGAGGCCTGGGACCATCCGTCCTGCTCCAAGGCCTGCACCCAGCTGTCCGCAGTGGGCCATCCTGTGTACGGCGCCACCCAGCGTGCCTCGCGGGCCGCCGAGGCGCAGTCCGAGTCCAACAGATAGACCTGACGGAGAGGCCCCTGGGCTCTGGGAAAGGATCTGCGTGTGGGTCAAAAATAGTTACCCAAAATGGGACCCTGGTAGGGAACATGGACCAAAACCTGCGGTCCCCTGGTTTCATTTGGATCCAAGCTCATATGAAGCTTTGAGGTCAAATCGTGGCAAAGGCATCTCTGGAAAATTCACATCGACAACCATCAATACAGGAGCCAAGGGCAGAAACCCAAGAAGCTCCCGCGCCCACACACACAGACACACACACACACACAGACACAGACGCACACAAACACACAAACACACAAACACACAAACCACAGAAACCACACAAACACACAGACACACAGACACACAGACACACAGACACACAAACACACAAACCACACAGACACACAGACACACAGACACACAGACACACAGACACACACACACACAGCACACAGACAGACACACACACAGACACAGACAAGCACAGACACACACGCACACACAGGCACACACACACACACACACACCCAAACGCACAAACGCAAACATGCACAAACACACGCAGACACACACACAGACACAGACTGACAGAGACACACACACACACACACACAGACACACACAGACACACATTCACACACACAAACACACACACAGACACACACAGACACAGACACACGCAAACACACACGCACACACAGGCACACAGACTTGAACACACTTGACGCACACTTGACAGATACACACACACAAACAAACGCAGACGCAGGACAAACACAAACGTACGCACGCAAAGGCACGCGAAACACACACAGGGGCACACAAAGAGACACACGCACAAAAAGAGATACATTATACACGCCAAGAAGCACACACACAAGACACACGGAGACACACACACACACACACACGCTCAGTTGAGCACCAGTATCTGAGTCAAAAAGAGGACGGCTTCAAAGCTGAAGATGCGAACCGTAAACCAACTCAGCTGGTGTGTATTCCCTGATCGGCAGCGCCTTGTCCTTGCCCGTGCTCGTTGTCAGCGTAAACTTGGTGGTGTCTTTGCGCTGCACCTTGTGAGGCGTCACAAAGGTCCAAGGGACCTTTTTGAACTTAAGAGCAAGCTGCTCAGGCAAACCGCATTGCTGACAAGGTGTGCACAAGGTGAATCTAAATATGACAACTATGTCCCAAAACTACCTGCACCTGAGCAGACTGCTTCAAGCCTGGAGGGGTGCCCCAGTGCCTATCGCTTGGTGTGCCAGTGGGCAATGTGCCAAGCAATGCAACTTGCCATTTCCCCGCAAAATAAATACAAAGCTGGCACCCAATTTCCCTAAAAGCAACATGCAAACTGCCCAGAATTTCAATTTCCAACGCGCAAGCAACGTGAAGATCTATGAGCAATCCATGCGCCACAAGGACAATCAACTGGGGTCGTTCAGGAGGTTCTGGCTCCGAAGGCTACGTTAGCTTGGCAATCGGCTACAGCCCTGCTTAGGCCCATCCCACCGACTCAACAAGGCTGCCTAGCTTACCAAACCCACCAAGTCCGAATGGCAATCCGCCATATGCCGCCCACATGAGCCACGGTCAAGATATGCAGTTGCCATGAGGGTGAATGAGTTCTCTGGTGTTCGCGTGAGGTCCCTATCAACCAAAATTTGGACGCAAACATCACCCCACGTGCACTCCAGCCCCATGGGATAGATGAAACCCTAGGAATCATAGGCTAAACCACATCCGCCTACCCACTGCAGAGCTTTGTCCATCCACATGCCCCACCAATGTGCCTTCATGCCCCTGAGCTCCACGGACCCAGATGGCGGGCAGTCCACCAGCGTGGGCGTCTGCCACCACAGCAAGTGCCCTCCTGCCAATATGTCGGACAAAAGGGATCACACCCATAGAGCAAACTTGATTGGTTCACCCCGCGCACGCGCTGTGTGTTTGCGCGAGTGTGTGTGTGTGTGTGTTTGGTGTGTATGGTTGTTTGTCTGTTTGTTTGTTTATTTGCTTGCTTGCTTGCTTGATTGATTCATTGTTTGTTTGTTTGTTTGCTTGTTTGCTTGTTTGCTTGCTTGTTAGTTTGCTTGCTTGCTTGCTTGCTTGCTTGTTTGTTTGTTTGTTTGCTTGTTTGTTTTGATTTGCTTTTTGTTTTGTTTTGTTTTTGTTGTGTTTGTTTGTTTGATTGTTTGTTTGTGTGTTTGTTTGTTGTGCATGTGTTGTCTGCCCTCCCCCTTTCTCCGCTCTTGGCCGGTTCCAGTGATAACTAAAAAGCGCTATTGGAAAGTCCTGCAAGGCGGAAACCCTCTAGAGAAACACGCGACTTGAGAATCAAGTGTCGCTCTTGAGAAATGCATGCTCTTCTCAATTGCAATTTCCGCGAATCGCGGCACTTGTTTCCCACGACTGTATGTAAGTAAGGGCTAGCGGTTGCCTTAGTTGTGGTAGGATTTGCCCACCCACCCAAAAATAAGGGAGCTGACATGAGCTGACATACCATGGAGGTAGACGTCCAAATCTTAAGATATGGGCCTAGCTGCTAGATACCAGGTTCTGCTAAAGAGCTAACATCTGACATGGGAGAGGGCCAAAAGGCAGCCATGCATCAGCATGCGTACATTCTGCATATTAATGATGTGAATGCAGCATCAAACATCAAAACAAGGATGTGCAAGTTACAAAATGACCCATGCGTGTCCAAACCGTGCATAATGTTCAATTTAGGCTGCTCTTTCTTCAACACTGGCAACTAGACAATGTTCAGTAATATGTTCACGGCAGGAAGGCGGACTACCGAAGAGGCTCAGAGGTTTAAAATTCAGAAATAGAAAAGCAGCGCTTGAGTGAAGAAAAGGACCCTGCTTGCTGAGAAAGGATAACAATGGGGTGCCAGAACTGCTTTACTTGAATCCCTCAAAGGAAAGCTACTGGAATTTACAAGGTTTGGCTTGACAAGGGACAAAACAAAATATTGTCTACTTTAAGGAGGGGTTGCAGGGTGGTTTGGTTTAGGGTAGGATGTTGCGAGAGGTGCGGGGGTGTTGGTTCACGGGGTACGGGGTGAAAGGGGGAGTCTGGGACCGAAGCTGCCGGGCTCACACGGTACTGGACAGCATCCCCAGCATTGCCAGCATCATCCCCAAGATGCGGATGATGCGGGGGAGTGGGGGGACCATACCATGGGGGGGGGGGGGGGGGTACGTGGCCCAGGGACTGGTACATAGATAGATATATATATATATATATATATCTGGTACGCCCCCCCCGGGTGCCTAGGTTTTGCTTGATTTCATTCATTGTTCTAACACAATTCTACAATTAAGAATTCTGTACCCAAGATTGCTGGGAGACGTTCAATGTGACAATCTGGAATGCAAGATTCAATATTTCACAAAATATTTTATGGAATTCTGGACTATTGAATCTGCATCGCATATGTTTTTAAACAAATATTAAAAAAAACTAAAAACAAAAACTGAGATTCAAGATCAAGATTCAAGATTTCAATCTAATCTTTTCCTGGGAATCTTGAATCTTGCATACCATATTATTTTTAAACAAATCCAGGTTTGTCCGAATACTCTCGGTGTTCAATAAGATTCTCGGAAAAGCTTTCCGTGAAATAGTTCAATCTCGAATCTTCAAATCCAGTGGTAAAATACGTTCGAAGTTTTAGAACAACTTGATCATTTTTAGGGTTTGACCAGGATGGATATTTCTCCAGAAAGATGTTTGTGCAATCCTCGATATTGAATCCTCAATCCAGTAGGTAAAGCACTTTCAAGTGTGAGAAGAACTTGAATGTTGTTTGGGTTTGGCCAGGACTGACAATTCTCAGGAAAGTGTTCTGTGTAATCTTCAATCTTGATTTTCCCATCCAGTGGTAAAATACGTTCAAGTGCTTGGCGCTCCAGTGGAAACACTTTCAAGTTATTAGTTAGACAAACTTTCAAGTGCTTTTGGTGAGCGGTTTGCTTCATCTTAGCTATGAAGCATGTTGACCCTTTTCCAGGAGGTAAACCAAGGTAGGTGTAATGCTCAAAACCCGTATTTTATAGATTCTTATGAAAAGGCGCAGGATCATGTATGTATGTATGTAGGTATGTCTGTATGTATGTATATGTATATATATATATATATACATATGTACGTATGTTCACACACCGTCACCCCCCCTCTTGAACTACCTCTCCACATTTGCTCATCTACTACCTCCGCCTTTTGAGATAGAATTAATCTGGTTTTCCTGTGCAAATAAAACCTTAAATACAACTGATTCAGCTAGAATTCCTGTTTCGGAATTGCTTTAGAATTTGAACCTCTCTTCCCTTGAAATTTCCTCTTGGAACACCGTCTAACAAGTTTAATTTCGGACCTTTCTTTTGCTGCCAAAGGGCCAGGATATATATATAACACAAGTCGTATTTCGAATTTAGTTGTAGAAGTCCCTTAAATGTTTAGCCATATTTAATATGAACTAAATTTGAGAAGTTGTCTCTAGTTAATTGTTATGAACAGCTAACTGAGTTGTGTTGGTATTAGATATTATGTCTAACACTTATATCATATTTGGGAATAAACTCCTAACTTCTTTTGTTGAAGATTAGTTGGAGTTTGCCCGAACTATACTTATACTCTCATGTAGCTCCTATTTGGAAAGGATTTGCTTATATAAGCTGTAGTTGAGCAATGTTGAGCATAAACACATTTTTAAAAACTATATCCTAACCAAACTATATTCAATATTCCAATTCTAGTTGAAGTAAAATCCTATTAGGAAAGGGTACCGTATTGGGACATTTCGGATCTTGCCATGATGGACTGCAAGCCAGTTCGTCTGTGCTTAAAATCTATTGCAAAAAATCTAAACTCTACAGCCTGCGCGCTGAAATCAAGCAAAACCTGGGCACCGGGGGGGGGGGGCATAGCATATATATCTATATTTATAATATATTATGGCGTTAGCGAGAGACGACATTTGAACAGGGTGAATTTGGAAGAACATCAGCTTTCTGGAAAATCCACACGTGCACCGACGAGGTCGGCAAGAAGGTGTTTTGCCTGCAAACAAGTTTGCTTGAGTTTTGAACACATCGTCGCAAGACCATTGAAGGGAGCTGAACTCCCAACGGTGCAGTAATCGCAAATCATGTATATATGTCTGTGAAGTGCTTGGGGGAAACCCTGTGCATCTAGTCCCAAATAGTGATTAACTCATGTTCAGCCCAACTCAGGCGCCTCGAATCTGGAACCACCGTAGCTGCAAAAGACCATGCCAAGCACCTGGAAAAGCACGCGTG